ACCTTCTAAGAATCAAATCCCTATGCACATCCAAAAACTTCTCCAACAGGGTAAAAAGGGAAGCTACAGACTGGGGAAAAGTGTTTGGTAATGACATGTCAGATAAGGGACTTATATCCAGAATTTATAAAATACTTGAGCACCACAACAAGATAAGGGCAAATAACCCGATAGAAAAATGGGCACAGGATATGAACAGACACTTCACCAAAGAAGACATTCAGATGGTCAACAAGCACATGAAGAAATGTTCAAAATCCCTAGCCCTGAGAAAGATGCAAATTAAGACAACTATGAGATATCATCTCACCCCAGTAAGAATAGCAAAATTTAACAGAACAGCAAGCAACAAATGCTGGAGAGGTTGTGGAGAGAATGGAACCCTTATTCACTGTTGGTGGAAGTGTAAAATGGTGCAGCCACTGTGGAAAGCAGTGTGGCACTTTCTCAAAATGTTGCAAATAGAGATACCATTTGACCCAGCAATTCCACTACTGGGAATATACCCTAAAGGACCATAAATGACATCCAAGCAGATATATGCACACCCATGTTTATCGTGGTTTTGCTCACAATAGCAAGGAGTTGGAAACAACCTAAGTGCCCATCAACAAACGCATGGATAAAGAAGCTGTGGTATATTTACACAATGGAATACTATGCTGCACTGAAAAACAAGGAACTAATGAAATATGAAAAATGGGTGACCCTGGAGGACATTATGCTGAGTGAAATATCTCAGTCACAAAATGGAAAATAAAAAAAAATAGTGCCATTGTTGTAAAACAGGACTGACACCGGGGTTGGGTGAAACCTAAGGAAAGAGAGAATAAATAACGTTCACTGCATTGAAAAAGATGGGGGAGAAAACTGTTTAAAAGGAATATGTGATTAGGTATTATTTTCATGACAAGAGTCCAGAATAAGAGCTTCATAGTAAAGTAGACTTGAGGTGGAAGGGAAATTGTATAACAATGAAATTATTTATTTATTTATTTTTCTTTTCAAAGAGAAAAGTGAACTTGGCGGGAGAGGTGGGCAGAGAGGGAAATGTGCAACAATGAATGAATGGAAATCCAAAGTAAAAAACACCAAAAACAACCCACACAAAAAATTGGAAGATCAGCTATGTATCAGTTCCAACTTGATGGTACACAAACATAACAACTGATGGTGACATTACAATAGAAAAATTATTAATTTACATTTTCCCTTTCATCTCTGAACTACACCAAAAAAGTTTCTCAGACAGTCCTATCTGGTTTCAAACATGAATGTCTTCCCACTACATTGTATTTTAAATATAATGACTTTTTTTAGGAGTTTTCTCCTTCTCCTACAGTTCTTTGAACTTTCTTTTATTTTCTTTTAAATATAATGATTTCTAAGTGATTTTGTTTCGGTTACAAACTATTGACAGTTGAATTGGAGAATGTAACCTAAAGAATGGTTGAGTAATAACAAGAACAAACACATTATTCTCCTCGACTTTTAAAAATATTTATATTACTGCAATCTCCCTTCGGTCCAAACTGAAATTAAAAATTAAAAAAAATGGTTATCGGGGTTTCCTTTTCCATTGATAATAATTTATACCAAAGTTAAATTAATAAACCAATTTTTAAATTACTTTAATAGAAGGGAGTCATCCTTTCTCACTTATAAGACTTACACTAGAACATTTTTCAGTCTAATGTGGTATCTTTTCTAAATTAGTTGAGATCACCCTGAAGTGTTAATTCAATTGCACATGTACTTTCTTCAAAGAAGGAAAAAGAATACCTTTCTTGAGGTATTTATTAGTAGCGCTACAACCTGGATCGCTACAACTGGTTAATTTTACAGGAATGTTGTGGTTGTTAGGTGACACTGAGTTGAGTATGACCCACAGCAACCCTATGAACAATAAATGTGAACTCTGTCCTCTCCTGTCCTATCCTTGGTATCTCTGACACACTTGAGTCCACTGCAGCAGTCACTGTGTACCAATTTACCTGGTTAAGGGTCTTCCTCTCTTTCCCTGACCCTCCACCGTTCCCGGCATGGTGTCCCTCTCCAAGGAATAGCCTCTCCTAGCAATGTGCCCAAAGTATGAGAGATGAAACTTTATCATCTTTGCATCCAAAGGAGCACTCTGGCTGAACTTTCTCCAAGACATTTTTGTTCGCTCTTTTGGCAGGCCACGGGATATTCAATACTCTTCTCTAACAGCATAACTCAATGGCATCAATACTCTTCTCTAACAGCATACCACAAAGGCATCAATTCTTCTGTTATCCTTATTAACTGTCCAGTTCTCAGGTGCCTATTCTACAGGCTTAAGGACCTATAATTCCTTGATTGTAAGTGATGATGATGGGCTGGTAAGTGTTTAACATCTGGTTCTCTGAATGGGATAGGAAGCCCCAATTGTAGCAGTTATTGAGGGATGGTATAAATGCTTCTCTAATAGTCTACTTCAAATAACTGATGTGAAATCACTGGATGCAATATTGAGAAGAAATGCTCAAAATAGCTAGTACCAGCGTCTTCATCACATTACTGAACAAGATTACTTCAACCACATTTACATTCTAAAGTTTCTGAAATGGAAATGAGTCTTATAATCAATATACAAATTTACTGTTGTAGTGTTTCTGTCCCCTACCCCTAAAACAACAACAATAAAACAAAACACAAAAAACAAACCAAAAAATCCACCCCAAACAAAACAAACCAACAACGAAAACCAATTAAAAAAACTCACCCCAAGAACCCCCAACTCATGGCCATTGAATCAGAACAGACTCACAACTGACCCTCTGTTGGGTTTTTGAGGCTGTTCATCACATGCGAAGAGGTGGATTCACATTGACAGGAACAGCCCCTGGCTTCACGGCTCAGTTCCCTATGGACTATGCCACCAGGGCTCCCTTATCCCTACAAGTTACTTTTACGTTGGTAAAGGATTTTACAGTAATAAAGTGTAACATTTACAGAAGTAAACACCTAGTATACATCCAGGGAGCCTAGTTGCAAGCTGGAAGGCAGGTTGTTCGAATCCACCCACTGCTCTTCTGGACAAAGCTGGGCAATCTCTTGGAGGGTCAGCTATGATCCGGTTGCGACTCCATGGTACCTAGTAACATCAACAGTATATCTAAAGGATCTTGGCTGTGAAAGAGACTGCTTAAACAACTCAAATTGAAAAATCAAGAAAAGGCCCTTTAGAAATTAGAAAGATTTTTAAATGTCTAATGAGAAAGGGAGAGGGGAATTCTGTCTAAACATTGTCAGTTTAAATGTTTGAAAAGGAACAAAGAAATTAAATGAAGATCGACTTAAAGCAGCAAAATATCAATTTTCTACACAAGAAATCATATCCAAATAAACACACAGTACCTGGAATACTAAATCTGGAATCTCTTGATCATAGAGAGGAATTTGCTGCAAAAGGAAAGCATCTAATTGACCTGCATTTCTAAGCTGTAGTAGCTGGAAACGTTTACTTCTTTTCATTTCCTCTTCAGAAATAAAATTGAATTCATCTTGCAACTGTTCTAGACGAAAATATTCTGGAATGCCCTTGTCCTTTCGTTTCATGGACTGAAAAAGAGAAATAATGCAAAGTCTTTACTTAAAATGTTATTTCTTCAAATTCAAGAATAATTTCAAAGAAATGTTCCATTCCCTCATTCACCCAATTATGTGTTGCCAGAACTGCAATCAACCTCAATTTTCTTTTAGTTAAGTCTGCTGTCAGGGACCTGTCCAGAGTGCTAAAGAGCAACGAGGTCATTCTAGAGACTAAGATGTGCCCAACCCAGGATATGGTCTTCTCAGTTGCTCACTTTGCATCTGAGAGCTGGAAAATGACTAAAGATGACAGGAGAGGAATTGATGCCTTTGAGTTGTAGTGCTGGAGAAAAGTACTGAACATACCATGGACCACCAAGAACAAACAGGTCTATCCTAGGGAAGGTGAAACCAAGTTGCTCTTTGAAGGTGAAGATTGTGAGGCTCTGTCTCACATACTTTGAGCATGTTTTCAGAAGTGACCAGTCCTTGGAGAAAGAATCATGCTTGGAAGGGTCAGGGTAGAGGGTCAGCACAGGAGAGGAAGATCTTAGATGGGATGATTGACACATGACTATGGCAATGGGGGCAGGTGTGTCAGAGACAGTAAGATTGTTCACAGGGTTACTATGTGTCTTAGTCGACTAGATGATGTCACATCAACAATCACAACAAAAAGAGCTGCAACAGAAATAGGCAATGGAGCAACTGAATCTGCTCATAAGTAGAAGCGTGCGCGCACGCGCGCACACACACACATATGACAGATTCCATTCTGTGTGTGGGAGCTCTGGTGGTTTAGAGGTAAGGAGTTTCCCTGCCAACACAAAGGCAGGAGGTACACTCTACCAGCTGCTCCGCAGGAGAAGGATGGGCAACCTTCTCCCATATGATTTACAGCCTCTCAAAACCCACTGGGTCAGCTATGAGTTGTTTCTGACTTGTCAGCAATGTGAGTGAATGAGTGATACTTCCAACCAAGAAATATAAGACATACAAATGAATGATCATAGGATAGAGAAGATAATACATTTGAGTGAGTATACTGCAGGTAGAGGGAATGGCATGAATAAAGGTAGGAAGAAATCTGTTCAGAGCATACAGAGCAATGCAAGCTATAAGGAAGAGTACAAAACAGTGATCAAATGATAGAGTCTTTGAAGGAAAGGCTGTCTATAACTAATCTTTATATCCTTAGGATTTACTAATGATTGGAACTCAGTAGACAAATAATAGATGTTAACCTAAAACATTTTGGTTGCTGAATTATTCTTAATTGTCTTTAGGAGGCTGAAAACTATCCTCAGATTTATCTTTACATGACCCTACTGCATTAAAAAAAATACACAGCAAATTACAGTGGAATATCAGAGGTGACATCTTAGTAAATATACTTAAAATATTGATTTTTTTACTATGTTGTTGTTGTCTACCATAGAGTTTGACCTGACCCAAAGCTGACCCTTCAGGAGAAGTTCAATTGCAAGGAAGGAGGTCACCCATCCTTCTCCCACAGAGCAACTAGTGGATTTGAACTGTGTGTTTTGGGGATTGCAGCTCAGCTTCTTACCAGAAGAAGCTCCCTATTTTTACTATAACCTACCATAATAAATTCCACTAAATCTGAATATTCTGGATTATTTGGATCAATTCTGACTTCCGTTGCCCATTCAAAAAGCTTCTCTGTGTTAATACGCCATGGATTGACAGGCACAGTTCTTGCATCTAGATTCCTTAAAACACTAACAGAAAGAAAATACACTGTAAATTTGTATGCAACATGAATATTACACAACTGTTAGACAATAAAGAATTTAAGGAAAAGAGATAGAGGCTTTAGATAGGATATTCTCCTAGTTCTCATATTCTAATTTATAAAAGGGCCTTTTGATCAATGTCCACAGTCTCCTTAAAAGGCAGTATGATTCTTAAGGATCAAGTCTGTAAATACATATCTTTATCATTTCCACTTTGCATAGTCGCTAAAACATAGTAGGTACTTTGGTGAATTTAGCTTACTGGATGAATGTATCCTGGGAAGAATAAATGTAGAACCTCAAAGGTAATTTCTCCTCATGTGTAACTAGGATTTGGACTAGTTTTTTAAAAAAAGATTTGTCATTCATACCTCATGTCTTCCCCCCTCCCCACCCCGTTGTGTACTGTCAAGTCAGATCCGACTGGCACAGAAGGATATTGTCCCTCCTTTTCCAGTGGGAGAATCTGGTAAATTCAAACCATACACCTTCGGGATAGTAGTACAGCTTCTTGCCATTAGGCCACTAGAGCTCCTTTGGACAAGATTTATAATTTCCTTTCTATAAAGTACTCAAGTAGAGTTCTAATCTATAAGCTATAGTTTCAGGATTATAGTTCTGAGACAGTTTCAATACTCATTTAGCTCAAAAGCAGACTCAAATTTGACACTGTCTTCTATCCATCACTATCTGTTTGTATTTCTATGGAGAAGTCTTCAGAAGCTATAGCTGGCAAAAATAAAGCCTAGTAAGACAAGATCTATGCAAAATTAAGAATAAGCGAGCAAGACTATGTGGTTTATCATCTCTATGAAAAACTGTCTCCTTTGCTTTGAGACCAGAAGAACTGGACAGTGCCCAATTACCATTTGGATCAAAGATGATATGAGATCTTTTTGTAACCAAAAGGAGTAAAATATAGAACAGAATTTCAAACTCTTATAGACTATAAACATTTTAGAGCCAGGAGGATGGAAGAGCCCTTGACATTAATGTCTTGAAGTCAAGGAAAACTTCTAAATTCTTCTTAAAACAGAGCAATAGTTTAGCTTAATTAATAAAAGAAGGTCAGCCTTGAGCATTACAATCTTTTAAGAATTCTCTTTACGGAGTCAAATTTTCAATAACAGCGTGAAAGTTTAGATAGAAACCTTAAGGTGCAGTGAGTTTCTATTAATGAAGGAGTAACAACTCAGAAAAAGAGGGTGAGATTACACAATTTTATGAGTGTAATGCGAAACCTATACTTGGACCAAGAGGCAGTTGTCAGAACAGAGCAGGGCAACACTGCATGGTTCAAAATTGGGGAGGGTGTACGTCAGGGATGTGTCCTATCTCCATACCTTTTCTTTTTTTTAACTTTTTATTTTATTTTATTTTTGTGTGAGTGTACCGTCAAATCAGATCTGACTGGTACAGGAGGAGATTGTCCCTCCTTTTCCCGGCAGAGCATCTGGTGGATTCGAACCGTGTGCCTCTGGGATTGTAGTTGCAGCTCCTTGCCACTAGGCCACCAGAGCTCCCCTCTCCATACCTTTTCAACCTGTATGCAGAGCAGATTATCCGAGAGGCTGGGCTCTATGAGGAGATGCGTGCGTTAGGATTGGTGGATGATCTATCAACAATCTGCGTTATGCAGATGACACAACC